TTTTTTAAAGCACCAGAGCTGGGGCGGGTCGGGCTTGGGGGGGGCTGGGAGAGCAGGCAGGGTATAGGGCCTGGCAGGGGTCCCCCAGTGCCCCCCCCCCCCCTCCTCCGGCCTCCCCTCCCCCTACTTACCAGCTCCGAGTCTGGCTCCAGCTCCCTGCTGCAGCGGGCGGGGACTGTCCGAATCATCGAAGCTCTCCAAATCTTTTCCGAAGATTCAGAGATCTTTGAATCAATTCAGACCTTGTTATTGGTCCCCTGATTCAATTTGGATTTGGAGATTTGGACACCAAATCGGGCCAAATCTCCTCCGAATCAAATCAGCACCCGAAACTTTGCATAGCCCTATTGATTATATATTCTAGTGAGCAGAGATCAGATTTTTTGAAAATTCATTAAACCCAGCACATATGTGAGTGAGGATGATGGGGAGTACTGGAAAAAAAAAAACATTTTTCAAGATATAATCATAATGGAAATCAGACTTGCGAGTTTTGAAATCTTTAATGAAAATGTTCAGGTCAGAGTGCTAGCTAAACCAATGGGATGCTCATAGAGAAATGTGTGTGACAAAGGGGAGTGACCTGTCAGAGTGGGGGAGTGATCCCTAATTTAGGGTACATGCGAGTCCAGTCCATCTCTGGTCTAGGTTCTGGTCCTCTGTGGAGAGAAAATGGGCAAATGAGAGTATCATGTGACAGTGCTCATTCTTGCTATTGCTATGCAAGGTGGCTATGAAGCACTCGGGGAAAATCAAGGCAGTTCTGAATCCCTCCATAGTGGCCCTGAGGTGTGAGTATATTTATAATTTTCCACTAGGGAGTTGTAGAAGAAAACCAAGGTTTCAAGAGCTGCTTGTGGACCCCTGAACTAAAAGAGAGTCAGCTCTCCATTCAGGCATAAAGGCTTGGATTTCTGGTGAAGATACAAAGCTGAAAAGAAGAGGGATGGGAAATTTGATTTGGGACAAGTGTAGAGGTATAGATGTGAGCCAATTTTATCTGAACTTCTTTCCTTGCAGAGGTCCTAGGGTGGGGTATTTTTAAAAGGATAGGAGAAATTATCTTATCTACTCTTCCCCATGCACACAAATGCATTTAGGAAATAATTCAGCTAGGGAGAATAAGAGTAGTTTTGTCAAATATTTCCATCAAAGGGGTCATTTTTGGTGGCCAAATTGGCTAACACCAACTAGCTGCAAGCAGCAAGAGATGAGGTAAAGCTGAATGTACATGAGTTCTTGGTAATAAAAAAAAAAAGAAGGGAAACAAAACAAAATGTATATAAATCCTTCAATACATTATGAGCACAATCAGGTCTGCCTTATTTGATGAAACCAATTAAACTACTCATATGAGAAAAATCTCTCTCTAATTAGAGTGATTAGGTCTTCTGTCATTGGCTTAATTGTTAGCACTTATATCCATCAGTGGTAACAATTGCTGATGTGCAGCATAACTTGGACTGTGAAGAAAAAACCTCAAAAAGTAGAAATGTTGGAAGTCTTAATTTTTGCAGCGGTTTTAAATAATCATATGTTTATAGATCCATTTCCGTAATACAGCATCACATCTCTACAATATCAGGTGAGAAAAACATGAGCCACAGACGAGCTACAGAAACTATATAAACACTATTTTAAAGCTTTCTTAAAAACCCCAGAGAAAGAAATTCAGTGGTGGAAAGAGAACACGGGCATTCATTTTGAACTATAAAGTGTTTTGGGGTTTCAGAAATCACACTCTTCTACAGGCCTGAAGCAACTCCCTGCTTTTTGGCTATCTTAAAATAAGGTTGGTATGGATTCATGTTGCCTTATACAAAAGTGAGGTTAATTATCCCAATTTAGAACTAACGGACTTATTGTTTCTAAATTTGAATTTATTTTGAATAAAAACTGGCAAAAATAGTCTCACTCTCTGTTTTATATTTCTATATATTTTAGGCCTTTCTGTTATGCTTCACTAGTCGGGGAGTCTGATCATGCAGACTTCATATATCCTTCAGAAGCTTTATGGCCTAGTACTTATCTAATTTAGCCTGCCTCGGCTGTGCTTGCATGCTTTGTTTGACTCACGACTTTAAATAAACCACACGCTCTGTTGTAAAAATAAATAAATAAATAAAAGACACCAGTTTCTGTTGTCCAGGTAAAAAGAGTGCCTCCTAAGAAAATCATGGCGATACCATTAAAGTGTCAGCTGCAGCTCTCTGTTGCAGAGAAAATACAACTTTTTGTTCCAGGAACTCCCAGAAGTCAATTGAAACAAAACAATTGTATACCCTGCTTAGAGACCATAAAATTGTTGTCCAAGTACTGGAGACGACTGTAGCTATATCCATGCCTGGCGTAGCACCCTTTGATTTCAGGAGCATCACACCAGGGATGCATGACGTTGCTAATGTGGGGAAAGCCGACGTGGTTTCCTCAGAACCCAGATAAATATATGTATGTGGGCAACATTGTTTGAAATCTGTGTTCTTAAGCACAAGCATTTGTTGTTACACCTCTGTTAATGAGTAGATTTCTCAATATGCGTTTTACTTCCATTGTAAGAGGTTTCTCCTACTAAATCAGCTTGGTTCCTTATGGCGTTTTTCTGCCGAGATGCACAGAGGGGAGTGAATGAATTACAGAGCTCTTGCATCCTGTATGGACCATCCATGAGTGGGGCCATGGTAGGCCATGTTGTGGATCCCAGACAGAATTACAGCAATACTCAAAACAGAAAAAAATCCTTTAAAAAACTGTTAACTAAGTTTATTCAGCAGCATTTCCCTTTGGGAGATGAGGAAAGTGGGTCTCTCTCACCTCACATTTTAGTGTTTACCTGTAATGCAATAAAAACAGAAGTGGTAAGTAAGTGGATGCAAAGCAGCATTTTAGAGAAACATCATTTGTACGAGGCCTTGAGCATATGGGCTTCCATTTGCAGAGAAATGTGTGGACAATTCATTTACATGCACTTATTAGTGCCGCGCAAACTATTTTCATAACTGAAAGCACAATGGTCACCTGGCACAAAGTAGCAGGGAGCAGGGCAGTAGCCCTGGGCACCAACTTGGCAGGGTGGGTGAGGAATAGCAGCCACAGCTACCAGAGGTCTGGATGTTGCTGCCACCCTGTGCACCGCTGCCTGCCAGACTGCAAAATGGCCCAGGCATGCCTCTGAAGCGTCCGCTTTCTTGGGCAAAGAGTTGCAACAACTGGTAGGTGCACTAAAGCCAATGCATTTTCTGAAAATCTGTTGTGTCGAGTTAGGTTACTTTGTACTGTGGATTTAGCAATCGACACTTCCTGAATTTTCACCCTTACTCACTAAACAGGATCAATGTTATATTGCATGCCATTGACTCCAAATGTACATCGTATTCCAGTTCACAGGGTAGAACAACTTATCATTTATATTGCAGGCTCTTTCAATATGTCCCACTACACATTTGTTGAGGCAGTCATGTAAAGATTGCTTATGTCTGTCACGTTACATCAAAATAAAAGGGCCAACGTACAAATGTATTATTGTTGGACCAGCTGTTTTATTTATGGGGCTAATAAATTCCTTTGGAGACTTACAATCAGAACTGAAGCACAGAGGCTTTAAAAAAAAAAGACATTTTCTGTGTATTTAAACTTAAAAGCCAGGCTTAGGCCAAGTTACAGCTCGGTGAATAAAGGTCTCCTTATAAAGAGACCCATTGACACTTTGCCAGCCTCTTCCCCTGAGACTGCCTAAATAAATTTCCTTGGATTGACATGGCTGGAAAAGGCACCTTTTAAACAGAAGAGAATTCAAAAAACTATGTAATGGGGAGGCACCGGCCTTGTTTTTTTGCAGAACTGAATTGACTCAGAAATGAAAGGCCATTTTTCAAACCCAAGGAAAATGTGTCACAGTAATTTTTCTTTTCTTTTACACGGCCTGGACAATTAAGTATTCAAAGATTCCCAAAATCAATAACAACAAGTGGCCCTTAACTGGCTGCTCTGGAAGAAATGAATGGCTCTGTGTTTTTGTAAATAATTCATTTTCATTTGTGACGGGGCCCTTCCAGCAGTTTAGAAATGGACACAAATTGTCAGAGAAGATCTAAGGATAAACAAGACAAAACACTTAATGCTACTGTAACACTGAGATTAAGATGTGAGCTTCTTTCCCTGCATTTGGGGAGCAGAGAAAATGAGAGGAGGGTAGAGTTCTTTAAAATAAAGAACTAAGAGTTATCATGTTGATACCTGGTAAAAGTAAATGCAACTTCCCTGACATCAATAAAGACCTGAATTAGGCCCTTTTATCTTTAGTCCAATTTTGCTTTGATGGACAAATAAGTCATGTGCTTCTCTGAGCTTTGTCTACCATTGTTATTCCTATGCATACTACAATATTCCTATTTATACCACAATCATGCTCAGAATCCTCAATCAGGGATCGGCACTTTATTCTATTAGGCATTGTACAGTCAAATGAAAAATGAAATCTCTGACACAGCAAGCAGTTTAAATCTGTGATGAGACAACAACTGGAAAGAAACACCAGGTCCAGGTAACCAAATATATTTGATATAGTAAGCGGCAGTCATTCCATTCCCCCTGCCTAGACCCTCGGCCTGATCTCAACTAGGGTGCCAGGTCATCCCTTTGAAGGGTGCCAGGAGGTGTGACACGATAACCCAGGTAAGTCAGATTTGTCTGTGCTTGGCTGTTCCCCTGCAACCGCTGCCTGGCCTCTCTGCAAGGAAGTAAGCCCTGTAATAAATAAAGTTAGTTTTTTTTAATAGATGCTGCTCAGTTCACAAAAGTTATGTAGGGTTGCCATGAGTCTAAAAATGTTGAGAACCACTGGCCTACACATTATGGCATCTTATCCAGATGTACAACAATGGGCTAAAATTTTTGCAATAAAAAATTTTAAGTGTTATACCAGCTGAGCATTTCCATCCACAATGAGAGCTGTAACCACCACCATTGGTAAAATAATATCACAAATTAGATATTAATCATTCATTCTTTCTTTGCTTACCTAACTCCATACATGACCAAATGGTATTCATCAAGTACATTTTTCACACTTCTTTTCCTATCTAATAATTTGTAAATCCCATGCATTTCTAGTCTTGTACTAACAACACAAACCTTGAGAATGGCAAATAATTTGAGGGGGTTTTTAAACTTAATTAAATTTTCCCGTCTCAGAAAGAGTTTTAGAGGTTATATGAGCTTAGCTTACAAGATGAAAATTAGGTTTGATTTTTGCTTCATCAAAACTGCCCTCCCTTTCTCCATGACTTAACTTGAACCCAGAATAGAAGCCCATTATTTCCATCTATCATCTCAGATGAAGATCGCTATCTTAAATTACTTGCACTCTTTGAACTATTTGTGGAGACTTTTCATCACATTTCCATAGCTTTCTTGTTTAGAGCACAAGAAAGTTGAAGAAATGAATCCTCAGTTCTGCTAAAGGCTGGAGACACATCAAGCGTCCATAAAGGCCTCTGTCTTGTCAAGGGTAGAACATCTGCAGCACGGGCATGATGAACATAGCTGTGCGGTGATCTTTCAAGGACCTCACAAAGACTGCCATGGGTGGGAGAAGTAGGAAGCAAAATGCACACACTGGAATGGGGCACTTTGGCTGACAGGGCAGCTCAGGGAGACTGCTGTTTATTAGGCTTTCACCATTGTCTGTAACTAACAGGTTTAAGTAGCAATTTTGTGATCATCAGGAATCCAGGTTTTCTGTTTTCCATGGAAAAAATTTAAAAAACATGAATTTTCCCTTTTAACTGAGAAAAGTGTGCATTTCTCATTTTTTCAGAGAAACGTAGATTTTCAACTTTTGCAAAGAGCTCTCTGCAGGCTGGCAGAGTTCCAGCCTGCAAGAGGCTGGGAGGAGCGGGAGGAGGGCGATCAGGCAGGGGGTGCCATGTGCACATGCACACGTATGCTTGCACATGGCCACCAGGCAGCCTGGAGAGCAGCTCTCTGCAGGTAAGTCTGGTGGGGGAGGGAGAGACTGAGGCCCCTATAGAGAGGGAGGCAGTTGGGCAGGGATGGGGCTGAGACTGCTGCCACTGTCCAGCTGGGGCAGTGCACGGGGCTTGGGACCTGGGGCCATGCATGGCTGCAGGACCCCAGTGGGGAATGGGATAGAGCCACAGGTGGCTCATCTGGGGGACAGGGGTGCTGGCTCCCCACTGCTGCACACACTCCCTGGGGGGGCAGGGAGTGCATGTCCCCGCCCCGATCTATGCGCAGGGTGGGGGTGGGTGCAGGCTGCCCACTGCAAGCTCAGGCTCCCCGCCCTGGTGCCCTCCCCCAGAGCCTCCACAGCCCAGCAGGCAGGACCCGGTGTGGTAGGGCAGAGCAGAACTGGGCAGGAAAGCTCCTTGCCACTGCAAGCCCTGTGCCACCCTGGCAAAGAGCCCCCCTGCCTGACCAGCAGCTGCAGGGGTAGAGGTGTGAAGTTGTGCCCCTTGCTGCTGCTGGGTGGGAAAGGGATGATTCTCCAGGGTGACACAGGGCTTGAAGTGGCAACGAGCTTTCCCACCCAGTGCTGCTCTGCCCTGCAGCACCAGGTCCCACCTGCTGGGATGCAGAGACCCCATGGGGAAGAGCAGCAGGGTAGGGAGCCCAAGCCCGCAGCAGGCAGTCCGCACCTGCCCCCCCCCCCCCACCCCATGGGCTCCGCTCCAGCCATGCCACCCATGGGGGAGGGGAAGCTAGGCCCCGTGCTTTGCATTGCTGCTGCAGCCATCACCTCCCATGGGCACAGCCAGGACTCAGGCATTGCTGCAGGGGGCAGGGAGCTGTGAACCCAGATCCCTAGCCCCATAGCCCTGGCAGCTCTGGCCCCCCTCGGTCAGGGCTGGGTGGGGGCAGGGGGCTGTGGGTGGGGGATGAGGGAGGAATGGTGGGGGGAAAGAGCTGTGGGTGGGGAGTGAAGGACACCAGCAGGGCTGTGGGTGTGGAGTGAGGGGCACCATGAGGGCCAGGAGACTGTGGCTTGGGAGTGACAGGCCTGTATCTGCATCCTGGTGAGCAAAGGGGGCAGAGGAAGTTCTGATTTTCCATTATAAAAAACCCCAAAATCAAATACCCAAATTTATAGGTATTTAGAATTCATTTTATTATAGTGATTGAGGCACTGGTACGCTTCCAAATTGCTTTAAAATTCTAAATATAACAATAAAATATTGTGTTCAATTCATACCTATATACGAGGGCTGTTCAAAACGTATCGAGACTGATGCTGTAGGAAACAAAAGATTTTATTTACAGGGATTTGGGCTTAATCTCCTTTGAAGTAAGCTTCTTCTGCAGTCACACACTTCTCCCAACATTTCTGCCATTGCTGGAAGCACCACTGATAAGCAATTTGTGGAATTACTAAAAGCTGCTCAGTCATACTTTGTTTTATGGTTTCCACATCACAAAATCTTCTTCCTTTCAAGGTTTTCTTTAGTTGAGGGAAGAGAAAAAAATCTCACCATATCCCACAAGTGCTGCAGCCTCCATATACACCTGATATGTCCCCATGCAACCCTCAACTAAAGAAAACCCTATCATGTATTCAGTTTTGCTGACATCAATAGCAAGCCAAAGTTCTTTTGTGCTTGACTATGATCTCTTGATCCTTTTGCACCATTTCCATTTCATCTTCTACTAGGCAGAGACTGTCTGTATATAGAATCATAGAATCATAAAAAATTAGGGTTGGAAGGGACTTCAGGAGGTCACATCTAGTCCAACCCCCTGCTCAAGACAAGACCATCCGCAACTAGATCATCCCAGCCAAAGTTTGTCCCAGCCGGGTCTTAAATACCTCCAAGG